CCTCCCCCCCCGCCCCAGTCATGAACAGCATCACCCGATTTTCAGCTGGCCTTGCTCAGTAAGAACTATGTAAGGAGCTGCTTCTCAATCTAGCCCTGCCCATGCAGAGGCTGCTGTTTCCTCTCTGGGCCTGTGTTCTGCACGCAGGTGCTCTTTCCAAAGTGCAGAAGCAAGACCGCCAGGCTCACCTCCAGTTCATGGCAGCCACTTCATTGATGTATTCAGCACAATAGACTAATGTTACTGCAAAAGAAAACACATCAGAACTTAGGGGCTGGTCATTAATCATTATAGAAACACATCCTTTACAGGTGAATATTTAATGTAAACATAACAGGACAGCCACAGTTGAGGAGAAATGTAATTTTTACTTTAGATATAATGTAAGATAAAAATTATAAAACTAAAAATACACAACACACCCTTTAACTGAAAGGAAACCGAGGTCAACACAGTCTCCATGTTCTCAGTGAAACCATGCAAAGCTGTTCAGCCACACAGCCATGAGAATCCAGGTCTTCTGCCCAAAACCAAGAACTCACCACAGCTATTTTGCCGAATTTCCTACAGCTCCAGTCAAAGGTCAGGCCTACATGACACTGGGCAGCAGGGCCAAGAGCCACAAAGTTGAGTCCTCACAGCCACCCACTTCTCAGGCTCACAGTCCTGACAACAGGGGCTGCCCCTGTGAGCAGCAGCATTGGTGGCAAAGTCAGGACAGCAGGAATCCCAGTTGCAGGGACTTGGATTTGTGCAACGGGTTACTTTGTGCACACACAGGTCCTTCCTGGTCTGCATGTTCCCCGCCACAGCGAGCTGCACAGTGCTAAGCCCGTGGAGAAAAACTTCTATGTAGAGTCGGAGTTTCACTAAACCTAACCCATCTTTGTGTAAGTGGTACTGACCCCTTCCCTGGTAAGATAGATGCTCAGCAGATTCCTTTCAAATCCAATATCCACAATCTACTTTATGATTCCCGAGAGTGAAATCAGGGCAAGTCCTGAGACTCAGAGCCTAAGACACAAGGGTTAGGTCTCAGGAATAATTACATGTTGAGAACATGCAGGGGCCGTGTCACACACAAGTTCTGTTCGTCCTACTCACCGAGGCACAGGAAATGTCCGACCTGCAGTTCATATCGCCGGGACGAGAGACAGGTGAGCAGCAGGCAGAGCACGTGGAAGGCGGCCAGGCCTAGGAGCCAGGGCTCCGTCCAGTCTGTCTGCTGTGGGACACACCAGTAGGAACTCGTCAACATCAACTCCCGGGGGCGGCCTCAGGTCTCCATGGTCAGTGGGGAGTCAGGGGCCCCTCACTCGTGAGTACTTACTTCTGCAGCTACTGAGCAAGGCGCCCAGAGGGCCCCCCTACCCCGGGCCTCACAAAATGGGGGCAGGAAAAGGACAGGGAAGGGGGGCGGGAGCCAGGAGCCCCTCCATGGCATCCATGGCATCCATGGCCCAGGGACCCGAAGAGGAATCCAGGGCCTAATGTTGGAGCACAGGCTGGCAGCCTTGCCGGAGTGCCCCTTGGGTTTGTGGAGCAGGCGCAGGTCTGAGCTGCGTGGAACCTAAGGGTCCTTGTGCCGGGAGGGGAGAGGGAAGCCGTGTGGCTTGTTCAGGAGATGCACTTGGTTACTCCCACTGAACCTGCTTCAAGCTCCTTACACTGGTACTTAAGGCCTTGGGAAAGGACTGGGCTTTCTCCACCCTCTTAACTTCATGGTGGGCATGCCCGCCCCCCGCAGGTCCACGCCCTGCCCAGACCAGGCTCCTGACCAGGCTCCAGGCCAGGCTCCTGACCAGGCCAGACGGGACTCGAAGCCCAAGACACCTGAGGCCTAAGTGTGGCCGCCCTCCTGCAACCCGGCACCCTGCAGCCTGGGCAGGTAAGCGGGCCACGAGCTGTGTCCATCAACTCGCGAGCTGGGGGCCGGGACGAGGGGCACGGGGAGGGCGAGCCGGGGACGCGCTCCGAGGAG